TTGCCCGATTCTACGGTTCAAAAATCTTCAATTTGCTAAGTTTCATTGAAAGATTCAATGAAATGATTCAAGCAGGTGATGACAACTATGCGAACGTAAATGTTCTGAATAGGTCTATTGATTGCCCGCTCCCAAATATATATTCATTGATTTTTCAACGTAAAATTTTCCAAGAAGACTCAATCATGGAGACTAACAATCCTATCAAATTCATCGATTCATTCTACACCCAGAGATAGAAAAATCCGAGATGAAATATAGCTTCGTACCAATACTCAGTTCGCGGCTTGTATTTTTTCTCAAGTTAGAATGAGCACAACGACTGCAACTGTGACGACGGGTAAACAACAGAAAAGGAATTACTGACAAAGATATGATTTATTTTCAATGTATTAATCCAAATTAAATAGCTCGACCTTGCCACACGTTCCATTCTGAACTGGCATGGCTTGGTGGCATTAGGAGCTCAAGGCGCTCTTGAAAAACGATGAGATACTGCACGATACAACAGATTAATAAAAAAGAAAAGATGAAGTGCGCTCGCCATATGTTTACTGATCCATAGAGCGGCCACAAAGGAATTTCGCTGCAAGACTATGAGGTTATTATGGTTGAACCCTGTGTTCGCTGTAGCACTACCCCAGCCTCCAACACTCTCAAAGCTTTGCGCTCCACCATATTCAGAAACTAATCTTCGGTTCTTCCATTATTACAACGATCCCATATTTGCCGCAGTACCCCTCCACGTCAGCATCTATAATTTCATGTAAAAAATTAAAAAATAGTGATCACATAGGATACGATTTCTAAATTGAGGCTTTCTTGTTATTTTGAGCGTAAACACTCGTCGAAAATTCAACTGCATGTTTCAAAAGAAGAGAAATAGGATTGAAAAATGCCCAAAAAGGTAAATGAAGAAAGTAGAATGGCTCTCTAGTACATCCTGTGGTTGCATTCATGTCACTCGATGCGATTCGAAAATTGACTCGCGCGACTTGGTAATGATAATACCAGTGGAATCGCCCGACGAAGTGAAAATTAAAAGGGAAATCCGATGAATTGCAGCATTGATGGGCATATATCGTACACGAAATATTTCAAAAATTGTCATAAAAAATTATAATATGATATGGCTAATCTGATATAAATTCAAGCCGTATGCATTAGAATTTATTATTGAAATTCAGGTTATGAATTTAATGCCAAAAAAATGCACTGGGTGATTAAAATGAAAAAAAGATGGACTGATTCTATCGATAATACCGTTGTTATCAATGAAATTCGTTCTTTTCTTCTCTGTGAATATTTGCAGCGTAGTGAGTACGATTTACATATCATTTTTATCACTTTTTCACCAAAGACCTGCAATCTTTTACCCCCGGTATAATTACTATTACTTTCTCCCTCTCTATTAATTACCGGCGATTCGAAGCAGAAGAGTCAACTTTCCGGAAAAAGTATGGAACGTTCAATGAAACAGTGCGTAACTATTCCGTAATTTTACAGAATACGATTTTAACCGGCAGATCACGAAACAGGCACGTAATTTTTATTGAATTATCTTATTATTATTTTATTATTTTTATCTCTCCGTGTACAGAAATCGCCGTGAAACTGTCATCAGTCAAGAATTCCATAGATGTGTACTAGCCCTTGCAACGAAAAATTTTAACGCGATAATGCCATTTTGCCGTACTCTCCTCATTAATTGACCCAATCAATTAATTACTTGACTCATTAATCACCGTCTGGAGACAATGGTCGATCAGAATATTCTGATTCGAAATATCTCTCCAGTCCACTCTCAAGAAATTTTCTGAAAGTTTTAGAGCACACCGTATATAGTTGTAGAATGGAAACTAAGTGAGACTTTAACATGGATGAAATTTTATTCGAAGGATGGTTAAAGTGGGTGGGGGGAGGGAGGAGGGAGGTGGGAAGTGAAAAACGATGAAGGTATAGGGTACCCCGAAGCATCGCGTGTTTTCTAGTTCAACCAGTGGTACGCGATCGTTCCACGTTCTTATCGCGGCACCGATTAATCACTCACGGATAACGAATTAAAGGGCGCCCGTTATCAGAGGGCACGATCGTATGGAATAAAGGAGGCAAATGGTGATAAAACCGCTGGTACTAATCGACCAATGAGTGTACGAGAAGGCAGGTAATAAAGAGAAAACTAGATGAGAAGGAAAAAACGATGAAGACGTGAGCCACCGGAAGTAAAACTCGTCAATAGATGGATCAACTCATTGAGAAAGAGAAAGCTAGGCGCAGAGAAGAGATACGAAAAAAGAAAACATTTAACAGGAAAACGCCAGGCGGAGTCGAAGTCTAGTCACGTTTACTCGTCGATTCAATTGTCGCTGGCTAGGAGAAACCGCTCGAGTTTCTGGTTTCGTGTTCCTAGAAGGCTTTTAGATCGTACCCCGAAGGGTTCGGACCTCGGCCACTTCGTATAACTTATCTGTCCATTTACTGATCCCACCTACTCTTTATATCATTGTTACATAATTCGACGATTCAATATCCTAAGAATGTGAAATTATTTTGGAGACCACTTGCTGGTGAATATCCAGAGTGAATGTCAACTTCATGACGAGAGTTCACAAGAATATTTCATCGCGATTAAACAGCTCGACCTGCTGTGAAGATTGACCCAATATATCTTGAATATTTTTAATTATTGAGTGAATTTTTTATAAGTCTCATCATTTAAACCTCACTCACTATTCCATGCAGCTGGATATAACCACTAAGTTGTCGATTTAAACATATTGATGAAGCTTCGGTCACACACCTGCTTGAATTTTTCCTACGGAAATTGACTCCTGTTCTCCCGCCAGTTTCTAATTTATATTGGTGATCTAAAAGATGGATTTTATTGCCTCAATATACCCTATTGTAATTACCACCGATTGCAGAGTTGACGACAAAAAAATTGAAGTCATTATGGGATGAATAATAAGCAGGAGATATTATGAGAAGGCTCTGAATGCAAGCATTCGACGGGGCAAAAGTCGTTCATTTCAGTCAAGCCAATCGTCATTTAACACGAAAACTTCAATAATCTAGAGTTTTAATGATGCATGAGAAATTTAGTGGCCATTGATCGGGCTACTATACTTATCGGCTAATATATCCAACTAAGAAAACTCAGGCTCCGGTCGATTATCGCAGTAGGAAAACTCCTTACCTTCCACAGTCAGATCAGCGCGATGTAAAAAAACCTATAAATGCACTGCTTCCATTGGAATAAATAAAAGTACTTTTCCATTTAAATGTCTCTAAAGCCCAATGGTACTGAACCACATTTTTGTTCAGAGACACCGAAGTAAATATTTTATACCTCAAATGGATGTACGTGGATGTTACTTTCCCCACAGCTCAAAATAACGACTACATAGCGGAATATTCATTTTGAAAAATCCATTTCAAACATAAGAAATTGATCCATATCATATTCAAAATTAATAATGCCTACTTTGATTTCATATGAATCATGTTTCGCTGGACAGTAATCTGACGTGAAAAAAAAAATTAAATTTTTTCCATGAGTGTTCCTTGAGTACAATTGTACTGCAATGTTGCATGTAGCATACCAGGGATAGTGGAAAGAGCGAAAGCGGATGGTATTCATCACAGGAGCACGAAGGCACGAAAATCGATCGATCTCCATTATAAGAGTAATGGCCCCAAGTATCAGCAAAAGGTGGATGTGACAACGGATGCCGCAATGTGGTCACACGATTATTCAACACTTCATCCATGAAAAATGCAATAGTCTGAAAAAGAGAATTTCCGTAATTCGAATGCACATACGAATTTCTCTCAAGAATAACAAAAGTTATCGTCTGCTTTCAACACCTCCTGAACATCTTTAGACTAATTAATGAATCTCTTTGTGTATCACATTATCATTCGTCTGTTAGCGCACTACTACACATTCCTATATTCTCCAGCGATTTTTTTTCTCTTGTTTGCTCTATTCATTTTCTTTATACAGCAGAATCTCTTGCACTCTCTTCTTTGCCTTGCAAAAGCTTGGGAGTTTCAATATTCATTCCCAGCAAATTTCATGACTCCTTCGCTCTCTGTTGTAATGGTTGTTTGTAAGGGCAGGTCGTCAATAGAGTCTCTGTGGAATATATTCCGTCTGTTGTATGTATAAAAGCTCGTTTAATAGTGACTTCAGAATGAGAAACATACTGGTTTTAGTTTTTTCTACCTTTGAAAATTTTCAGAGAGATCATGAATCATTCAATCGGGTGAACTGGTGATCAATCCCTCAAAATAATAATCATCCAACTTTATCAACTTCCTGATATATTTTTGTTTATTATGAAAATTCTTAGGGTCACTTGCACGGTATGACGCTGCAATTTTTATCTGTCACGAGAATTACATGAGCAAAATCGTAACTTACGTGTACAATACCAAATTGGCTTTCTCTCACGTGCTGCATTAATGAGGTACCTAGATGACACGCACACCCACCGTACAGGTTGAGTGGCAATAGTTGTTGACCCCACTTTGAAACCTAGTCTCTCCATTCAAATGAAAAAAAACTTGTCAATCTAACATCTTTAGCTCAACTCTCTTGTGTGATAAGAGTCCTTCAGTGCTATTATTAGCATTAAAAAAATATATAACATAGAGACAATGAGAACTCCTTCTCCCCACTGGAGCGTATAAAATGTTTACTAAAAGACACTGCAGTTGAGTGTAAAATATACGGAGATGCAGAAATAGAAGAGAATAGCTTGAGACGGGGTCACGGCTCAGTGGAGGGTTGCGAGGCAAGTTATAAAATGATATTTCCACCGCATAGTCCCATGGGAATGTTTCGCAACGATAAAAGATGAAAAAATGCCCGGAGTGGTACAATGTAAGAAAAAAACAACCAAGGAAAAAACAAAAACTTACACCAAATAGGTTAAGTTACTTGAGCTGTTATTCCTATCACGTAGAGGAAATACTATCAAGAGGAAATAGAAAAAAAAAAGTATCTCATGGATCGAAACTTTAGCCGGCCAAATCGCTCTAGATGAACTATACATATGTGACAATACTATTTGCTTAATTATACACCAAGGGATTTGAGTTTAAACTCAAACACCCAATTGCAGGGAATCTGAAATGTAAACACGCTAATATTCAATGAACGGAATATCGGAATTGTGTCTCGCCGGATAATTGCCATGGAAACAGTTCGAAATAATGATAAAAAATGTTCGTATCAGGAAGCAATATGGTGATGTGTTTTCAATTAATAGTGCTATACTCTTCTCAATGTTGAATTTATTTCAGTAAACCAGAAACAAGTTCTATCTCGACTGCAATCAATTCCTGCACGGAGCACATGCTAAGAGTGGATGACACTTGCGTAGTAATCACGATAATGGGAGAAATCGGCGATGAGACACCATCTGATATTTTCGTATCAGCCTCAACTATCGGTTCGACCGTAGAATTACTAAAAGCAAAGCAACTCCCTTCTAGGACATTCCATTACCCAAACCCAACATGGTGGATCAAGACCTTTGAAAATCTTGTCTCTGATGCTCTCTACTTCTCCCATCACTGCGCCTCATCCTATCCTATCTATCTCACCATAGAATGAATAGTCAAGAGATTGCATCCAAAATAATTTCATGATTCACTCAGCTATGTCCTGAGGAAAAATAAAATCAACGCAAAGATATCAGAAACCTTTTTAATTTGCAAAATTGCAGGGAATTCCCGAGATCAAAATCAATTGATTTTCCAAGGTAATGTCATAAGAACGAGAAAATTTCAATCCATCTGAGGACATTCACTTTATTTAATGTAAGCATCGCGCGTTAACACGAAGAGAGTTTCACCATCTGTTAACAGGACGCAATCATTATCACTTATCCCTTGAATACATACCGGGTTACTCTCTTCATGCTGGGATATGCCGTAGGGCGAGCAGAACTAATTATGACGAATAAACACTATTTATCATGGGAAACGTGAAACCCCTGAGTTTCGCTATTACCAGGGCTTTTGGTCTGGACTGAGGACTGGTGTCGCTGAGAGTTGAGTATACCTCTTACTGACTCTATGTACAGAGTCCCAACGTAAAACATGAAGAACGGCACACGGAGCTACTACCAAATATTGCAGCTACCCAACTGCTTATATGTTCATGACGATAAATGAGCTAGTTAACAAAATTAACCCTCTTTCTAGGTTTTCCCAACTTTTACAATATAATCACGCAAATGGAGATTTATCCTGAAACTATTTATTTTTCAATATATTCTAGTTCTCTTCGACCCCTCAAGAATTCGTACGCGGTAATGCCCAAATTGATTCAACCATACTCACAACTTGCTATGGGGATGACTTAAAGCGGTAGTGAAATCCCAAATTCGGATTGCTCCAGAACGATGGAAATGGAAGTGCGGTCAACATCAAAGTTGTTAATGAATGAAGAAAACCGAGGTGAAATCCCTTCAAGCCGGTTAGTCAGTTCTCTTCCTTTGATAGAAGAACCTTCTAAATCCATGCATTTCTTGGACCCTTTGTAGATTCGCCTCCACTGTGTTTATATTATTACTGGGATTGACTCCTTATTCCAACTCGTATCTGAACTTCCTCTCTTCGTGTCTATTCTACCGCAACTCCACCGCGTTCCAGTGGAGACGAGTTTTCTCCAAACGCAGAAATGCTACTCCAAGTCTATGAATTAATTGTCGAACGGTCGAACAATTCTACTTACAGCTACCGCTCTACTGCTGCTCAAGTCTGGATTAATTGTTCTTCTCATTGTGTGTACTTAATTGGAATATCGGGAAAGAAGAATGTTCGAGAGCATTCCTATTTATGACCATTTTCGACTCCATTAATAAAAGTCTGTGAAAATGTAAGAGAAATGCTAGTGAAAAAATGTCATAAATGAGATCAATTGGACTAGTTAATTGATTTAGACTGAATTCTGAGGAAATCTCGATGTTTAACTAATGGAGTTAGTTGAAAGTGTTGGTGAAAGAGTGCACGAATGGGCTACGTGAAGTTAAATTCGTCTCCTCCCTCTTGGCCTGCAAAGTAGAATTCCTTACTCTTCATCTTTTCTTTTTCCTATCTTTTTGTGTCACTCTCAAGGGATTTCTCGATTAAACTCGTCGAGTGAAAAAATTTCCCTCTCAATCTGGAATACCGGAGAGCTTAATTGAAGGAATGTAACCGATTCGTCTTCGCCCATTGGTTTTAATTAATGACGATCGATAAAATATAATTGTGCGACTGTTTTAATTGCATTCAGTTGAAATAATTTTAAGGATGGAGCAAAGAGGATTTGCAAAGTAGATCTCGTAAATTCCATAGCAGCGTTTAAAAAACTGAATATTGCACAGTGAATTTGATTAATCACTTGAAGCTCCATTCAGGATATAAGGGGGAGATACAAATTCGGGGAAAGAAATATGGAAATGTGATGTGTTGCTTGCATATTCATTAGAGGATGAGAATAACGGCTTTCACTGGGATCACAGCGTGTGAATTATCCAAGATAACAATCCAAAAGCTTGAGAATATTTAATCTCAAACAAACCATGAGTTGGTCTGGTGAGTTACTTTCGTTACAGTACACATGGATTTCAGTAGTCCCATCAGATTATCCGTTAGACACGTTCTGTAGACACACTTGCAGTTACAGAGTGGAATTTGATTAAATTCATACATCGTAAATGCATAGTGATTGAATGAATTTTGTGGAGATGTATTTTACCATCCAACGGTGTAAATTGTTTGCACAAATAGGAGCGGTTTTCGTAATTCACTTTGCGGTTGATTGCACGCAGTTCTATTGCTACGTGATGTGTGAGATGGTGACACCTACCGGTGCTACCTTCGGTGAGGGACAATCAATGAAGAAAATTAATCTGCTATTACCTACTGGTGATACGTACCATCAGTTGGGAGGAATAATCCACTTGTTCTTCTTCTTTATTTCTTAGGACTAACGACAGATAGTCTTCATGTACTTTTATAAAATAGGTGATGATCGAAGGGGAAAAGATTTGCGGGAAAATTTTGCTTTTTTTTATCTTTATTTTTTTTCCCCATTCATAATTTTCAATGTTCACAGAACAATTCGATGTTTCCGGAATTATTTGTTAACGTATTGTGATACAGTGAATTTTAAATTCAGAATTCAATATGGATTTTTGAGAGCCTTCGGCGAAACAGACGATCAACTGGATTCAGATATGTTCGTATTCACTTTTGGGATTATCATTTACCGCTCCCGATATTGCAGCATCTGGCATAGACTTTTCCGCGAGATTTTTAATTCCGGGTAATACGCCAGAGGCTATTTGAATCCTCTCCACCAGATTTCCATTGCCAGATAATTTAGCAGACATTGCCGGACGCATTATAATCACTGCAGTTGATTTTTCTCCGGTGTTTTCACCTCGAATAAAAAAACTTGTGACGTCTGCCTCAGCATGTTGCCGAAGTGGTCTTGACTGAAGGACTGCAGGTGCAACAAAAACCGCGCAACAGTAAAAAAAGATGGTTGACAACTGTGAAAAAAAAATTTCTAAAATCGTTTTGTGGCTACTATTTTCATTCTTGAATCCCACAACTCTATTCACACTTGGGCGATATTAACAAATATTTTAATTACATATTGTAATGGTTGAACCATTTAAATAAACTGCAAAAACTCACTGGTCGTCAGAACAACTGAAAATTTCCATGGATGTTTTTTTTCTGACAACACATTTGGCGGCTTCACAAGAAAAACTTTTTCACCAAACAAAACGAAAATTTTCCTCGACTTGTTTGACAATTTAATGCTCACGGAGTTAATAAAAAAATTTCCAAGTCCCTCGTGATTCTATTATTCACAACAAAATTCAAGGGCCACCTAAAGTTCACTTTAAAATGATCGTATATTACTTTACCTCAAACATTGTTCTTCCAAGTATTCCACTCGACCAATCCCCACAATTGAAAAGAGGAATCTGCCGTGTACACCGTGCCACACTCAGCGAAGTTTCAATTTATTCTTGAACTGGTTGCTTGCCGCCAATCAACTCTTATTTTTGTGACTCCAACAACTTACCTTGTCCCCAACCATTTTTTTTCTATTCTTTTATTCTATTTTCTTACCTTGCGCTCTTCAGCTGAAGAGTTCTTCTCAGCTAAATAAAGCATTATAGGTTTTCTGATGTTGATGATTATATGACGACTACACTCCTGAGAGTTGCAGTGGAATTTTTAGAGAGCGTCTTCCACCTGCCCTTTCTCCAAGGTCCGTTCTCAAGGACTTGAGGGTTAAGAGTTGTTAACCAGCAGAAATTTTTCTGTTCCCATCTCACCATCGCCTTAGAAGCCGCACCTATGATTTTATGTATAATAAACGAAACCAAATATCGAGAGAATAGCATTCATATGTCAACGGTCATATAGCGTCCTCTCCTCGCTTTTGCTTATAATCCTAAAGTCAATGTCTCTAATGTCTACTTCAATAAAACCATTAGTCGGATTGAATTCGAACACCCAAATGAGAATCATTCATGAATATTTAATAGTCCTGTGAATGGATAATCGAAAAAAAAAACGCTTGAATCGGAGATTGAATTGAATTTCATTGAAGTGAATAAGGATAACGTATTCGTCAAATGCAATTTCCTAATAGTGGGAATGATTGAATTAATCTCCCCGTACTGTCGAGATTAAGGGGAGAAAATAGCGCTATCATTCTTGAAATTCGGTCGATGAATTAAATTCCTGTTTATTCGATTCAAATTTCACGGTAGTCTACGTGAAAGCGTCGAAACCGTCAAAACCGTCGCGCATTGAAACGTTTGTGAATAATTTCCGATACAACCAAAATAACAAAATTCGATTATAAATTCTATCAAAAGTGGAAAATCAACGGAATCAGTCAGCAACCACAATGAACATCATTTGAACGAAAAGGAAAATACAATTCGGCTACATTAGTGAAACTCCTTTATTCAGTGACCATCTAATATATACATATCAAATAAACACAGAATTATTTCAGACCTCATTTAACGTTCATTGTTTTCTTCCACGAACAGCAAGTCTGGATTTTGCAAAAATAAACACAAGCCATACATGTAAGTATAATTGATTATGTACTTAGCACTGTGAAATACTGGAACACAAGAGGTAGATGAACTATTGTCGTTTATAATATCTGCGATGATTGCAAATTTCGAGGTAACCGGAGTATATTGGTGGATTCCCGCAACTAGTAAATTATTTGTGCATGAATAAAAATAACCGATTGGTCTGAATTGATTATGTTCTGAGAAGCAAATGTAACCGAGTGGCGAGAATATCTCCTCTTGCATTCAGTGTGATAGCTCTGACTTCTACATTAATTTTAATGAGACAAGTCATCAATTTTGCGATGGGAATTGTTCTAGGAATACAAGAACCAGAATGTCCTCTGTTTCTACCTCGTCGCTGTCAGAGTCATCAGATTTTGTGGAGTACTCTCAGGCGCAATCCTCCACGGTATCATCACAGACACATGAGGATACGAGAAGAAAAGTTTATATCAAAAAGAAAGATAGGAAGGCTAGTCACAATCAACAGAATAGCTTCATCTGTGCTAATGATGATGAAGGTAAAAGCATTTATTACGAGCCCGAAAATTGCTACATAAATTCATTTTATTTCGGTTTCTCCAGGGAGCAGTGACTCTGATACTTCAATAACAAACTCAACAATGTCGACTTCATATTCATTACAATCGTACGAGTCGAGTTATGGTTCATGCAACTCTACACTCTCGAGTGGAGCGTCATCGCCTGTCCCAAGTGATTCTAACTCATCAGACGATTTCAAGTCATCGCATTGCTCATCAGACAGTTCAAATCTCTCGAGTGATTGCGTAGATGAGCAATCATATTCAAAAGATACATCGAAAACTGCAGGTCAGAAGATGATAGAAGAAGAGTTAGCGTCTGAAAATTTATTCAATTCAAATTGCATTGCAAAGGATATTAAATTATACAATGAATCTAGAGAACGTGATCAGAATCATCTTCCGGAATGAAAAATTTCATAAAAATGTACATCCAAATGAAACTTAAATATTTCTCTTTCAGAACGTAATGAATAATGCACTTCTTGTATAATGGTAACTAAAAGTGCAATAAATCATTGTATTTTCCCGCAGAATTTCATTTCACGCGTTGATAATATTTCCGACGCAATAGCCGTTTATTCATCGATACAATGAAAATATTTCCCAAAAAAATTAATAAATTGATACAGAATATTTCTGTCCGTAGTAGTACCTCAGGATTAACTATATTTTTGAAAATTGCAGAGCTCACTATTAACTAATTCAGGAATAAATACCATCCATAAAAAATGGCATTCTTATTTTAATTAGTACCCGGATCGATAGTGATTCAGAATTCTTCATTTTTACTTTCTTTGGAATGAAGAACGTCGATTTGCTAGTTTAAAGAAATTCTATATTTATTAGGTATAATTGTAATCGGGGGATTAAGCTACAGTGGATACATCTCGAAATCCCATTTATTTCCTTTTTTTTTAATGGAAACACCTTTTCATTCATTCTGCAACATTTTCATCGACAATGAAATTAAATCCACGCACAGCGCACCGTATTTGAATTCCCCGCTTTGAGGATGGACATATGGCGATCATATTGACCAATGAAAAATAAGTTTCCCACTTCCTCGAGATATTCGGACTCTGAAAATGTTCCCTTATGAATACGAAATTTCTGAAATAGGGTATATTCACCAAAGCAGATGAGATTAATCGTGTTCAAGGCTCGTCGGTCATCGGTCGATCCCGCGGCCATGTTCAATGTAAACCAATAATTGAATTAGTGTAGTGTGGAATTACCAGTTATTCGCGATTCGCGAGTTTTTCGCAAACAGTAAAAAAGAAAAAAATGTCACGATCATTGAATGTAAAGAAAAAGTCGCTTTTGAAAATCGAGGACAGTCTAGAATTCAACAAGGAAAATGTGAGCGTTACTTCCAACCAGTTTAAGGAGCAGGACTCCCCAAAAATCGGAGAATTACGAGAAGCTTTTGAAAAAATGGCAATCGATGAACCACGTCCTCCAAGGAAACGAAGGGTTCTGACTAAACCAAATGCAATTTATAACAATATGGAAGTCACGAAGGAAAATCATAAAGAAAAGGAGAAGAATAAAAGCCGCCAAGCCAGAACAATAGAGAAATCATTGAATAAGAAAGAGCCCACAGGTGCCAATAAAACTGATAGTAAGAGGATGGTTAAAATAAAATCCGTAAATAAAATAAAAGAAACAGAGCAATCTTCGTGCGAGAAAAAAGATAAAAAACGAACTAATGTTCCGTCTACAAGTACTGATTCATTTCTAGAAAGTAAAGTTAAAGGGAAATTGCCGAGAAAGAGAGTCGCTAACAATGATAAATCAAATAATAATGAGTTTCCGATGAAAATCCCAATCCCGAGAAAATCCTCGGCTGATAATTTGACATCAGCTCCAATGAAACGCGGACTGAGGTCAACAACCGGGAACAAGGATTCTTCCATGCCCTCTACATCCATTGTAAACAAAAATAATCCGAAAGCTAACAAAGAAGAAATGAATTCAACGAAAGCACAGGTGACTAATAAAACGAGAAAGTCGGAATTAACCAGTCATAAAAGTGCTTCATGGAAAATCCATAAAATCGAAGTGCCCACTCTACCGAGTTATTCCAATAATAACGTCAGCATGCCACAATCTACCAATTCTATGAAACCAAAAGAAAAAGGGAAAGCCCCAACAAGCTCTGAGAAAAGTCCTACACCTCAGCTCGCGTCACCAACACTCGCATTACTAAAACGCGAAAAACCATCACCTCAGTCTCCTGTTGCGTCAGTATCTGTAAAGCTAGAATGCCGAAGATTATCGCCGGCTGTATCAACAACGATTCTCGCTGCTGTTGACATGAACAAATGCGAGAAGTCAACAACACATGAACGAGATATTTTCAATAATAAGCCAGCAAATAAAAAAGAGCTCAGAAAAGGTGCCGATTCCCACTCCACCTCATTGATTCAAAATGTGGCGGGAGAAAAATTTGAGAAAGATCGTGAATATTCTTCGGAATTATCTCAATCAAATCCACGATCCTCAAAAGAAGCGACAACGAGTATGTTATTAATTGATGTATCGATGTATTGATATATATGATATATTGATATATAATTATGTCAATTATATTGATTTTTTTTTTTGTTTTAGCAAAATCGCAAGGGAAAGCCGTGGGAAAGTCCGAGGGTGAGGATTCGAGGAAAAAAGCAACAGAGCGCCAACGTCAGAGGAAGGAAAAAAAATTAGCTAGAGCTTTCGAGACCCTTGCTGTACGCTTTGTCAGCACTGCTAAAAAAATGGGATATCTTGATGGTAACTTTCTTCCAAACACTTTAATTAAGGAGTATCTTAAAATAACCCTGGATAATGCAGGAATGCGAATTGTTTTAGATACTGGCGAGAATTCCTCGGTTGATGATACAGATGATTCTGAGCATTCCACAGACTGTAGCTGTTCGTCATGCAGCAGCTACTCAAGTACGGAATGTAGTTGTTCCTCCTCCACTGATACATCTTCCAGTTATTTCACCGAGTATACTATCAGCGGATCCTCCACCAGCAGCCAATATTCTGATTCAAGTGATTCCACTGACAACGATTAAATCACTTAAGTACTGATTATCTTAATTTAATGAGTTAATATTCAATATTTCAAAAGATTTTAGTAATTATTTTGTAATGTATCCTGAGATTTTTTTAATAAAATAACCCAATCCTTTCAGGGATATGGAGTGTTTTTAATGTTTGGTTTAAAATGTGTATCCGAATTCCAAGAACTTTCCATCTCATGGATGAATTCATTAATTGAAATGTCGCGTGGGCAAATTCCATGAATACATGATATTTGTAGTGAGAAGCTATATATTTTGCATTCAATACCGTGAGCTTGGTTGACTAAGCCAGACATTGGAGAGGTCGATTAAACTCGATGAATACTCAGTACATTTTCATTGTGTATATAAAACTAAAAATAGTGAAGATATACAGAAGGAAAATAGAATTCAATCCAGTATTTTATACTTTATACTTCATATATTGTATACAATTTTTCGATTGATGTGTCCGTACATTGTATAAGTTCATTAAAAGATAAACTAATTGCAAATTCTCGGTGAGGTAAACCCTGGAATATACTTGGAAGTAACAGAATATTTGGATTACTTGTGACTAGCGAGACAATTAACTCATGAATTTTTACGCCCACGCTATTTTCCCATTTTTTTGAATATATACGCTCTTTTTTTTGGTAAAAGAAGGATTAATTGCCGGCCGAGGCGGGGCGAAACGAGTCTGCTGAATCAGTGAAAACAGCCATTTACTTTTCAGAGTTACAATGAAACATTCGAAAAATGTAGGAATTATAGGAACGAGTTGCATGCTTTGCTATAAAAATTTGAAGTGTTATTTCTCAAACAATGACTATTCATCTGCAACAATGGGAATGAATATTTCACACCTCTATCCGTCAGGGTACGAGCTATTTTTACCTTTGCCAATATTATCTACTGAAATTGTGAAAACACTATTATAGCATTCACTAGACATCCCCCGAGTGACAACCCCTCATTTACCTTTTCCAACTTCTCCGCGCTACATATTTCTACGTACACGTGTTCCATTGCCCCTCCAATTGAAAATAGTTCATCATATAGCAGAAAAAAAAAAGTATTTATGTCAACTGCTCGTCGGTCAGTGTCCTCGTCAGACTTCCAGTGAATAAAAAAATCTATCAAGTGAAAATTGAAGTTAAAAATAGCCACACACGATTTCAAGCGGCCAGGGAAAATTTTTCTAATCGATACGAATGACAATGAGAACTCAGAGACATTTTATATCATGAAGAAACACGTGCAAATCACGTTTCCCCATGTGGGAAAATTCCGAATGGAAATAATTACGGATATTCAAATATTCAGTTTTGAACATCAAAATTATTTACGCCATTGTAAATAGAATATTTAATGATTTTAATAATATCAAAGCATTTCTAATTTGGAGAATAATCTAATACTCAAATAATTTGAATTGCATTTTCCTGATCGACTCAACTGAATTCGAACAGAATCCGCACCCAAGTAGAAATAACATAGTCAGCCTTAACTTTTTTCAATCCGGGTCGCATTTATTACCCACATATATGACGTGCAAGTGAAATTGCTTTGACATGAACACAATTCATCCCCATTATCCTTTGCTGGTGTTAACGATAAAAATCGCGTGATACTCTTCGGCATTAATTAACAATTCAATTGACAATTAATTATAGGTGATAGCTAATAGGCGATTAAGCACGGGGACCACTGATTAGTGACTAAGTGCAATGACGTCAGAGATTTCCTTTCGTCATAGATGAATAATGACGCACCTGTGACGGTTTATCTACTTTATAGACAATCGGGGGGTGATTTGAATGAATTTGTTTTTGTGTGCAAACTGATAATTAACTGACGACCCAAGAAATGGTATTGGAGAGAGACAACCCGATGGATATTTCAAGGGATGGGGTGGAAAAGGAAAAGACACCGCCCTTACTAGAACGATGGGTTAAGCCGCAGATCTGGTCGAGTGTTCGACGACTGCGCGGCTTCGGTATTGGGTCTATAAAAGCGTCGCGAGGCGTCACGACGCTTCAGACGCGACGATACGCGTAACGGTGAAAATGTAATCGGAGCTTCACAGCAAAATAGATAATTCTTTGAATGTCATTTTATCTCTGAGTCGGTGACACATAAGTGCTGCGAGTAATCGATGACATGAAACTTTCATAGTGATTTGCAAAAATGTGAACAAGAAACCGGGCAAAAGATTTTAGGAGATTAATTATTAAAATTTAAATTGGGGATATTTTTAATTGAGAATTCGGAGGAGCAACGAGTGTCAAGAGAACTCTTGTTTCATTTGGCTGGTCAACGACAACTTACTGCACGGTAAGTAACTCTTGATTTTGTTGAAGCTTATGTACGTCTGATAAGTCTGACTTTACATGTACCACTGCATGTGGCCCAATAAAGATGTTTCAACGAACAGGATAAACCAGGGAAGGTACCATTTTAGCGTCCCACGTACTGGGATTATTCTCATCTATTGATGGATTCCTGAGGGTTGATTAATTACGTGAGGGAAAATCATTTCGAGATTAATCAACCGCAATGCTGGATCGGATATCATTGGATCGGATATCAATATTTAGTAAAAAAAAATACGGAGCTTTCAGTTCGTTTATCGATTGCGGAATCGACTCGAAAAATTTAAGTGACGGTATCGTAATTTTTCATAGATAATTCAGATAAAAATTACGGAATGCCACAGAAAAATTCCCTGACTTGACATCAAAATTACGTTACAGTTCCGTGAATTTTTCTGCATCCACATTTCGCTGTGGAATTACGGAGAAGACACGTAATTTTTATTGAATATTTCTCGCCGTGTGTAGGAATTATTACCGAATACCTACGAATATCTATCCTTTAATGATTGAACTCAGCCCATAATTAGCGAACGAGAGAGTCTGAAAAGTGGGACAAAACACAACATGACAATAAAATTTTTTTTTATGTTACTAGTCCCTATAACCCACATATGTCTTCTCCCTATTATCGTTTTCGATTCAAAGATTTAATACCTTCGATGCCATAATAATAGGAAGACTATAATAACCAGCGTTTCCCTACCGAAGAAGAATAATAGAAAAGAAGAAAAATAAATTTTTTTTTTTGCCAACCTTGAACCACGAAGTTGTTTTCCCCGAAACTTTTCATGTATGAAAAAATATCCGGATGAAGCATGAAATTCATAATAATCGATGAGTCAAACTTTCCATACATTCATTTTTCACATAGAAACTTTAAACTCACTAGATGTGACCCATAAACAACATTATCTTGAGACCAATGGATGATCACCAAGATCAATGACGTCCTGCCATAGGCATCCAAGATCAATAGTTATGATCAACCAATTTTGCCTAGAATAAAGACTTCTTTATATAATTTTTTAATCTCTCCCTCTTTGCTCCAACATTTCGAAATTTTTTCATGCTGGGTTATACTTGCTAAGGTATTTTAATAACGCGAAATGGTTTTCTGTTTACACTAAATTCTCTATTGCACTCTAAACTATTTACATAACAATGCAATGAAATCCATCAAGCAAAACCCGACAATCTAATGTAAAGCTGTGAATTTCAAATATCATTAAACAGAAAATTCAATAAAATCTGGAAACTTTCCAAGCAAACCCTCCGAGCTCTGCTAGAGTATCGATTTTAGCTAGTACGCACAATTAACAGTGACGAAGACGCCAAATTGTTCTCTACTTCGTGGAAACGCGCTCCGGCTTGGAGAATAAGTTTCAACGACTTAAAATAAAAAAAAATATGAAATATTCAACCTTCGGGATCCAAACTCCAATAACCTAGTAGTGCGATCCACAATGCGATCTCCTTTATTCCAGTATCCTTTTCACATCGCCTCGAATAAATGATTTAACTGAGCATCCATGAATATAAAAATATCAAAGCGCAAAACTGGAGGAAATTTGACTTTATCTCTGAATAATGAAGGCGAACTCTCAGGAAACAAAACTGACTGTAATGAACATGCACTGAATAATTAACGTAATGTATCAAGGATGCATGAGCTTCCAGGTGTAACGTAATACCCCCTCATGATAAACCTGAGAAAACCGATGAAATCGAGTGCACGAGGGTTGAACCGTTGTAAAGGTCAGACAGGGCTGACGCAAATCAAATGGACCATAGAATTTCCCCCAGACTACGTAATAATAATACAGAACAGCAATAAGAACGTTATGTAAGTGAATAACAATAACAAGAATCTGTATTTTTCTCATTGCAGATGAAAGTACACGAAAAGAGGGAGTCGAGCATTCACAAAGTGCAAGAGGTAATGCTGGAGGAGATTGATCTTACAAAGGAGTATAATGTGGAGAAAACTTTGGGTGAGGGAAGTTTTGCAAAAGTCCTGCTGGCGACTCACAGGCGAACCCAGACGCGTGTTGTCCTGAAGGCTGTCCACCAAGAACTTACCACTGAGAAGGAATTCTTCCGTGAATTTCACTACTCGTATCATCTCAGCCCACATCCTAATATTCTGAGCTCGTACGATGTGGCTTTCAAAGCTGAAAAATGCTACATATTCGCACAAGAGTATTCACCGTTTGGGGATTTAGCTGGTAAGGTGAGAGCCGGTGGTCTGAGTGAGGACGTGTGCAAGAGAATTGCTGGACAGTTGTCATCTGCTCTAGATTTTCTTCACTCAAAGCAACTGGCACATCGTGACGTCAAATTGGAAAATATCCTGGTATTTGCACAAGACATGTCTAAAATAAAATTATGCGATTTTGGATCTACCAAACGCGAGGGCGCACTTGTCAGTAAAATACGAGGCACCTGGGTGCCATTCATGCCACCTGAGATTCATGAAGTCATCAAGAATGAGAGATACACTTGCAAACGTAGCACTGACTCTTGGCAATTTGGTATTGTTTTGTTTGTGTGTTTGACTGGGAATCCACCTTGGCAGAGTGCTGATCCAATTCAGGATCCTGATTACTCGGCATTTCAGAGATGGCTCAAAAGACGTACCACCCGGATACCAAATACATTCCGTAGATTTACACCACGTTTACTGCGGTACTTTAGACGTGTATTTGAGCACAAGTCTGAAAAACGAGCCTTGATAACGGAGATCACCAAATATTTGAAGGACACATGGTGTTTGAATAAATTGAGTCACAGTGTAACATCAACGTCGGTTGAAGTCAGTGACACACAGATAGCAAGAAGGGCTGACAGTCTCCTCTATCTTGATACTATCGTCGATGAAAGACTCAATATCGATGAGAATAAGAATAAATTGCGTAAACTACTCAACAGTTATGGCCTGGAAACTGCTGTAGATCAGAAAGTTGTCTCCAAGAGAATTTGGGAATGGGTCATGCAGTGTGATTCAAATATAGGTGATTCACAATATCTCAGTCCACTTCCAGCAGAGTCTATGTGAGATTTAATTAAATCATCAAGTGAACCATGCCTAATTAATGATTCAATCCGTGAGGTTAAACACTTGAGTTTTACCACCCTCACACTACCCACTGATAATGCATTATTTGATGATAGCAGTTCAATTCTTCGTCGTTCCCCTCTCACCGCCCATCAGAACTCTCTCGTTCAGTCAACCAGCTTTCGTGCCAAAAATTTCAATTAAAGTCAAAGCTAATTTTCCCTTCCCCTCCTCACACAGCGTTAATTAATAATTCAATTACCAAGAGGAAATCGTCATGATTTTATTTCTTTTTACTATTTCAAAGTGTTCAATTTTTTTCTATAAAGGTAAATTCAGGAGATAATTAATGGGGAAACTCTAGAGACAATAATAACTCAATCGATCCCTATTTTTTAGTCATTAGAAAATTATTAACTCGTGGGCCTAAAAATTTGATGCATTAGAGCCCAACAATTTGCAAAGCCAGTAAATATATTATATATTTTCGTCTTGAACTTTCTCTCAAATTCTGCATGATTCTACATGGACCAGTACAATATACCGAGAACAGTGTATACATTGATAAAAAAAAAAACTTCATAGACATGTAAATATTTAATATGCCCAGTGTTGAACGAGACCATAAATCTCAAATTTAGAGATTGTCAATTTTCGATCCTACGTAGAATATCGCGTGTGGTCGTAATTTGAAATATATATTATATTCTTGTAGAAAATTTATGTACAGATATTACTCCTTGAGAATTAATCTGTGTGACATACACTGAGAAAAATTCACAGTGTGGATCAAAAGTGCCGGTGTTGAATCAAGGAAATGATAGTTGGATCAAAAAATCATCGCCGATTTTCATTAACATTGAATGTTCACGAAAATGCAAGCATCAATTATTTTGGCAGATTATTCAACCTCGTTCCCGCTTTTGATATGACACGCGAATTTTCCTTAGTGTATCCGAAAATATAATCTCACTGAATTAATGCGATGAGAAAAAAAATCGTTAAAAATAGCTAGATTATTGCATACTCTGATAACGATGAAGTACGATAAAACCAAATGTTAATAAAACTCACGATATTTACGGAAATAAAAATGAAATAAAGAATTATAGAATTGCAAATAAAGAGGGTATGAGAAGAGTTGGAGTTAAGAGCAAAAGCTTCCAATTAATGAACAAATAAAGAAGACTGAATCGAATTAATTAATAGTATCTGGCCGGAATAATGTCGACTGATCAGATTGGTCATTAGGTACACAAATGCCCTATCTGGTGTGCTAACTACTTCATTATTATAACAACTGATCAGATAATCGAATGATGCTCATTAATTGGTATCTGCAAGCAAAAGATGTGTTAGTACCGATATTCAATGCTGACACTCGGTATCAATACCTGTCATTAGACTATTTATAACTGCTATTTGATAGAGCCATGTATAAATTTTTAATGTTTTAGTGCAATGTGCAATGTTTCAGTAGAGTAGACAGGACGTTCTAGTAGAGCGGCCAAAGTCCGTGATAACTGTACGAAAATAAAAATTCATAATGTATTTGAGTGAACAAACACTCTAGTAATTATACGCTATTAATAAAGAAATTAATTAAAAGTACACGAATAATGAGCTTAGCACAGGAAGAGAGTTGAGGGTATGAACCGATTTGATGATTGCATTAGGCGTTTTTACATTTATACGTTTACAAATAAGAGATCTCAGTGGATAAATTTATTTTTAAAACCCCTTTCAGGCACAATGTTAAATGTCTAGTTACTTGAAAGAGATTATATGTATATAATCAATTAGGATGATGTGATAAAGTTAGACCAGAGTGATGTCTTTAATGTATATTGAAATGTAAAATTGTGTATATATCAGAATAAAACCTATGTACTCCAATGTCAATGAAGACTTTCGTAAATGTTAACTACTTTTTATTTTTTACAATTTATTATTATGACATAAAAATATCCAGATTCAACGAAATCATTACACAATAATTGACTATTCTTTCA